ACAACTCACCAAAATTTAAGAAAGTTGTACCAAAATTTAAGAAAGTTGTACCCCATCTAACAGGAAGTGTTTTCCTCTCACTTTTATAACCCAGGCAGTTTCATACCCACATTTTCCTATCAAACACTTTCTAATAAATTGGAGAAAAGGTGAAGTTTGCACACATGAAAGCCCACATCTGGGAAAGTGGTCACACTGCTCTGTCCTTATCAGTTACAAATCTAGAACTGCACTGTGTGGCATGGGAAAGGAACAGAAATTCAGCTGACACTTCTGCTTTTCAACAGTAATTTCATGTTTAAGCAGAAATGTGCTATACTCTATACTATCATATCAGTCAAAAAAGAAAAACAAATTAAAAATCACTGCTACATAAAAGATTGGAAATAGAAGGAGGCAGTAAGGAAAAGCCAAGCAATTGCTGCACAGTCCCACACTGTGTGCCAGTGCCTTCCCTCCACTCTCCCTCTGCTCTTCCCTCATGCTGAAGGACAGCTTCTGTTTCAGCTCAACCCCTGACCATGCACACTGCACAGGGACTCAGGGAAGATAAGGTATGACCTCAACATATTTTTCCTCACAGTCTATCAAACTTAGGGCCAGCACAGACATCCCTGGAATGCACCACATTCTGCAGAGCATTTCCATCTTCCTTCCCTTGCTGCTGTAAGAGGGAACAACAGCACCACCAGTTTAGCCATCAGATCCCATTTATCCCTGCTACAGTCTTTAGGATTTCATTGGATTTTGGATCAATGGGGTTTTGGGCCTGGTTCCCACAATGTTAATGAGTAGTGAGCTCCCACACTCTTTTACACACACAACACAGATTTAAAGTGATGCTGTTGGGCACAGCTCCAGGTACACCTGCTTTTTCTGTAACCTGGCAAAAAAATTAAAATAAAATACATAAACTAAAAAACCTACAAAAAACCATCACGCAACTGTTGATACACATGGAAAATAGCAGCACTAATTCCAGTCTATGGTCCACTGCAAGGGAAGAGTCTCACCACCAGCAGACACAATAAAAATGAGCTTCTAGGACACCGAAGAGAAACAGAGATTTCAGTTTCAAAAGTATGCAAGCTGTTGCGGAGTCTTGTTTTCCAAGAAGTTTAGACTGCAGTCCCCAGCTATTTATACAGCTCAAAACCCTCAGAGTGATTAGGTGGCTTGGAGGTGCTCATGGGCTGGACCACATTTAGCAACACAGAGTGTGAGGCACATAGAACATGGCATAACCAAAACCAATTAAGAAAAGAAAAAAGGTTTACAAATAGATCCCAGTTTTCAGTGGCTTCAACAAATCATGAAAAAGAGAATGAGAGATGATTGCCATTGACAGTGATTTTCAACAGGACACAGACCACACCAGAGTGAAAGCACTGAGGCCTACCCCAAACTCAAGTACAAGCCTGACATGAAAGTTCCTGTCTGTCCTTCCCCATTTATATCATATGGAAAATTATATCACATACACTCACAAGCCTCCTTCAGGTTTTAAAACTCAGGGAGGTGGATCAAACCCACAAGAGACTCTAGTTAGCTCATCTCAGTAGCATATGCCAGCATTCCCCAAAATTGCAATAAATAGTGGTGATAAAACCTACAACTTCCTCCAGACTAACTCATTCCTTACTCCTAAAGGCAACTGGGACTGCAACCCACATATTCACTGGATAGCTGAAGATAAGAGCAAGTGACAATGAAGAACAAAAATATCTCTGCATCAAGAATTTACATAACTAGCTCCAGTTACTGCCAATTAGACCAATTCCCTTAATTCCTCCATTACATCTTCCAGCATTTTTCGGTTGCTGTAGTAAGAAGAGGTACAATAAATTATTATTAAATAGAAACCTACTTGATCACATTACAAGTACTTAAAAGTATAGATTAGCGCCCTGCTACTTTATTTTAATTAAAACCTTACAACTAGTAACCTGGTAGACTAAATAAGATACCTGAAGCTACTTCACTGTGCCAAGTCTGTCCACCAATTTTGGAGCCTCTGAAATATTTAAAGCTTTTTCCCCCCATCCTTTTGCTATGCAAGAAGACCTACACAAATCAGACAAATGTGAATTACAAGGAAAAATTGCATAATGAATCTTACAGATTCAACAGCAACTTCATCTTTTCTTTTTTCTTCTATAGCAAGGATTTATTTTTTTAAACACAGAATGTATTTTAATAGAGAAATTGTATTGAGTTCTTCCTGCTTCATACCATATAATATGTCAAGAGCACAACTCTCACAGGCAGGCATCCCTCTCAGCCACTGGGACCAAGCCAGCTCCACTCTGGGCATCCCACAGCCAACTCTCACACAGCAAGCCATTGCAAGTGTGTTGTACACAGCCAGTCACTTGAGAAGAGAGCAGCTGAGCAGCTCACACCACCACGAGAGCCCCTTTTCAAACAGAAAGCAGCTATGTACATGCAGGGCTCGGTTTGCCATGTGCACAAATCCTTCACAACACTTGAAGAGGCAGCTGCCAAAAAGCAAATGCCAATTGGCAGCGTGGAGGAGCTCGCTCCTGAGCCATCCCACGTGCACAGGCTCTCCAGCTCAGCTTCTGCAGCCTCCCCTGAAGAGGCTGGGAGGCGAGGGGCTTTCCCTTTGTGCAAGAAAGGGATGTTCCCAAAAGCGGGGGCAGAGGGAGGGTGTCTGGAAAAAGTACAAAGCAAAGGAGGGGAGAAAGCAGCACAAAAAAACAGGAGTGAAAGAAACAAGGAATAAGATGATGGAACAAGACAGAAAATGCTTTTTATATTAACCTCCTGCCCCCTGTTGTGGGCATCAGTCTCTCCCTAGTAGCAAGCACCATGACAAAAGGAAATGGCCTCAAGACACACCAGGGAAGTTTAAAATTAGATATTAGGATCATTTTCTTCACTGAAAGGGTTGTCAACAACAGACTGCCCAGGGAAGCAGTGGAGTCACCATCACTGAAGGTATTTAAAAGATGTGCAGATGTGGCATTAGGGACATGGTTTAGTAGCAGGCTTGGCAGTGCTGAGCTAATGGCTGGACTTTATAATCTTAGACATCTTTTCCAACCTGAACAATTCTATGATACTATCCATCAGGGAATATAGGACAAATACAAGGATCAAAGAGAACAAAAACACTAACATGTCCTCAGATATTTGTGGGATTCACATTCTCTGAACCTGAGAAAAGCAGCGAGAGAAGCAGAGAAAAGAACGATCAAAACAATTCTTCTCTCATTCACTGCTGCTGTGTTGTGCCAAAGTAGAATGCAATATGGAGATTATTTACCCAAAGTGATGGTGTTTTGTTTCCTTGGCCTATCGGGGTCTTGTAGATGGATAATTAGATGACTATTGTGTGAATATTAAGAAAAGCCTTAGTGCTGTACAGTTATGTTATTGTAGTTCAGATGCCCTCTGCTCTCCCCACAGTTCCCTTTCCCCCCTGTATTGTTGCCATCAGACAGCCTGGGCTGTCCAGGACAGGTACAAAGAAGCTGCACAGGTGTCCCTGGCATGGGGCAGGGGGGAATGGAAAAGCTTGGGGGTGCTCAGGGGGGCAGCATGGCAATACCTGACCTCCAATCCAGTGACAAGAAAGCATCTGCACTGATAAATGGCAAAGAAGGGCTGACTGACAGACTTTGGGAGGGGCCAGGGCTGGCTGATGCAACCCCAGGGGTACAAAAGACTGAGCACCCCTCTTGAAGATGAACCAGCCATGTGGTGTGCACAAGGGGCAGTTCTCAGCACTGCAACTTTTTCCTTATGTAGTCCTTTGTTGTATCTTTGTTAAGGTATAATAAACGTTTTGAAATTTCCAAAGTGAGCAGTTGTTTCTCACAAGGGCCAAGCATGTGTGCAGACTGTCCATCAGCAGACAGTCACGAGATTCTGTGCAGCTGAGTGAAGTTGGGTGCTTGGGCAAATTCAGTTTTAGACATAATATAATATAGTTTAATCTAGTATAGTAATATAGTATAATAAAGTAATTAATTTGCCTTCTTAATGCAGCCTTGGTCAGGTTTCAGGGTATCCCTGGCCAGATAGCACAGTTCTTCTGCTCAGCACAGCCTGAGTTCCCAAGCAGCTCCCAGCCACTGGCTACCTTAGCAAGTTTTGATGACATCAGATCTTTTGTGATTATCAGCTCATTTTGTGATTTCAGCTCTTTTCTTGCTAAGGGCCTTTGGCAGACACAGGGAGAGAGAGGAGAAGGCTGTGTGAGGTTCCACAGGGGTGGAACCTCATGCAGCCTTTATTGAGATCTTCTGTGAAGGTTCTGAGGGAGCTCTTCTGCCAAACTGGGCAAAAGTAGCCCTTTATACAGGTTTCAGGGGTTTTAGGAATTGTCCAATCGTAAGGGTCAAAGGGAGGTGACCTATAGTCTTACAGAGAGATAAGCAAGGGTCTGGAGGCTAAAAAAGGAGCTTCCTAGGTCCAGTCATCATAACTCAGCATTTCCTATCTTAGTCTGCTGACCACCAGACAGGCCTTGCAGGCCCTCTGCCTGCTACACCTTCTGATAGCCATGGAGTCAGATGCATCATTCTCTCCCCATCATTGGGGTTGCCCTGATTTCCAATAGATATACTCCTCCTTTCTCCCTTAACCCTCCTTCCACCTCCTCCCGGTAACACAAGAACAACTGTTGTATTCATATTGTTATTATTACATTTTTAGAGTCCCATACCTTCAGGGCGGTTTTCTCACAAGCAGCTCTTCACAGCAGTGTTGTTCCTACTGCTTCATCAGGGCTCCTCCAAGGCTCTTCCCAACCAGCCAGCCCACCCCCTTTTATCCCAGTTATCTTCATTAGCCACAGCTGCCGCCCAATTAAGGACATCACAGCTGCAGCCCATTTAGAACAACTGGGACTGGGGCAAGGCCACTTATACAATACATACGTTTTACCAGGACTCCTACTATAAACACCCACAGCAATTTCAGGACAAAGAGGGCTAACACAAGGTGAAGGGAGCAGGGGTGTGCAGCAGTACCTGCGGATGGCCCAGATGGCCCTGCAGGGCACGGGCAGGCTGGGCTGCTCGCGGGGCCCGGGCGGGTGGCAGGAGCTCCAGGCGCCGCGCTGGGCACAGCGATGCTGCTGCTGCTGCTGCTTCCCGTTCTCCCGGCCGGACAGCGATGAGCCCCACGGAGCGGGCACGGGCGGCCGGGAGGGCCTCTGGGGAATGGCCCCGTTCCCCCTGAGAAAAGGCAGGGAAAGGGAAAGAAAAGGATGTGAGGACTTGTACTCTGTGCACTTTTACTCACCAAAGGTTGAACGCTGTGAAATCGGCACAACGCTGTATCAAAGTGTTAAAAACGAGAGCAGGCTCCTGGTACTAAAGTGACTTCAGGTTTTATAATAAGAAAAAGAAAGGCCTGAAGCATGGGGGGCCCAGGCTGAGCAGGAGTGCTCCCATCGGGGATGCTGCAGCGCCGTCACTGGGGATGTCCCAGATGGAGCAGCACAGATTCAGTGGGTCAGAAGCCCCATTTTATCCTGGTTTTGTCCCTTTGGATTGTTTACTTTTTGGATCCTTCATTTGCATGAAGGTTTAAGGCACTGGATTGGCCCATTACAGTTCTGTCCAGGCTGGCTCATTTCAGTGGGGGGTGCTGCACTTTACTGAGGTGTGTTATGGTATATTGCGTACTGTATTTCTTATAACTACCCTTTAAACCTCTTTTACAATATAACAACCAAACTAACAGGATTAACAATAAGTTAATAGTTGATAATTAATAGTTAAAAGTTGATAATTTAACAATTATCAACTATTTTACTGTCACAGACAAATTTTATGAAAAATCCATTCCTTAGGATTTTTTCTCCTGAGAAGCTGAGAAGCCTCGGGAACAAAATGTAAACAATGGTTATCTGCTGCTGTGGAATGCAACAGGTGCATCTGTGATTGGCCCATGTTGATTGTTTCTAATGAATGGCCAATCACAGCCCAGCTGTCTTGGACTGTCTGGTCAGTCACAGGATTTTGTTATCATTCCATTCCACTCCTTTCAAGCCTTCTGATGAAATCCTTTCTTCTATTATTTTAGTATAGTTTTAATATAATATATATCATGAAATAATAAATCAGCCTTCTGAAACCTGGAGTCAGGTCCTCGTCTCTTCTCTCGTCCTGGGACCCCTGTGAACACCAGCATATTACAACAGTTTCTATTTTCAGTTTTCTAACCTATTTTTAACAAAACTACAACAGACAACATTGCTTTAATCCATAAAAAAAGCCTTTGTGTGCTGAGAGGACAGTATTTAATGGTTCCTAACTAGAGCTAGAGACTTGACAGCAAGAGAAGATGAGCACTCCTGTATCACGCTGTTCTCTCGACCTCTGTTAAGATGGGAAGCACTGTGGTGTCACTCCTAATTTTTTGCTCCAGAAAACAAATTATGTTCCACCACTTTTAAACAGAAAACAAATCTGGAGAGGTTGGAAGAAGGAGCAGAGGAATTTTCAGCAGCACATAGAAGGCTGTTTGTTTTCTGCTGCCCCTTAAAGTCAAATGCAATCATAAAATCTTGAGCATCACAAAAAGATAAATGCTCAGTACAAGCAACCAGAGGAGATATGAAAATACAGCACATCTGGACTAAAGAGCTCCATTCCTACAAGCTAAATGGTGCCACATCTGGCCAACTGGCCACCACTGGAACAAAAAAATAGCTTGAAGAGACCCCCTGGAATGTGGGCCTATGAAAGGGGGAGACTGAGGAAAGGAGGGAGGAGGAAGGCACAGATTTTCCTGCAGTTAATTAACAGTTGTGTTCCCTTTAGCCAGGCAGCTCCTGAAACAGCCTGTCAGGGTGTAAATACAAGTGTTAACAAGCAAGCTGGCTGTCAGCCCCCAGAAATCTCCCTGGCTCCTTACCCACCAGTCACACCATTAGGAACTACTTATCCAGTGAAAAGAGGAGGAATCCCCTGCCTGCTGATTGCCAGTGCTGCCACAGGGCAGGTCTGAAACTGGTCTGTCCCCATGAGGGCCTGGAGAAAGGGCCACAAAGGGAGGGAAGCCAGGATGCTCCCGAGAGTCCCCCTTCTCCTCCCTGCAGCTGCTGCTCTCACCTTGTGCCAGCTCTGTTCATTTAATTCACTGCAGAAACACAAATTCAGTGTCCCTTTTATAACCCAGATGCACACAAGCTCATGTAGGGTGTGACAGGTTCCAGGGCCGGTGGGCAGCCCCAGTGAAAACACAAATAAATGATATGAGGAGCAAGACCTCCCATTCTCATGAGCAGTGAGCTCTTATGGGAGAAAAACAGATAAAAACCATATATAATGGTTAAAATAAAAATATTCTAATAAACCAAGACTTCTGACCGTGAATGGAGATGGAAAACAGCATAGTTATTTGTGACACTAAGTAGGTGAGGGGTACAAACTTGAAAGTATTTTATTTTTCTCCTGTGACTTCTGAGAGCTGCTAATTATTCCAACCAGAAATGGATGGGTATTTTCCCTCTTTTTCCATTCTGAAAGGATGGATGAAAAAATATCAAACCTGGTTTTACTACTAAACATTATATAACATTTCTAAACACAAAGCATTGTGCCAGAATAATCAAACCAACATTGTGAATGGAAGGAGTTAAACCAGAGAAACTTCAGGATGTTGATGCTTCAGTCAGAACTCCCACACTAAAAATAAATGTTAGTCTTGCCAGGGTGAATTCAGCATTTCAGGGGTCAGTTCTTCACATCTGGTCGATTTACCCAACAAAAGTAATCAGGCAGCAAAAGGGTAACAAAAAATTTAAAATAAAAGAAAATTTAAAAAATAAAAAAAACACAGAATGCAATTGTGAGTCCCTCCAAATTTGTCAAATATCCATCTAATTCAGCAGGGCAAGTCCATCTCCCCCCAGTGCTGCATACCATAATAATACATATTTTAGACTAACAGGTGAAAACACCTGAAAAGCACCATAAGCATAACAAGTTACTTACAATTTGAGTCCATTGTAGGAGAGGGAAAAGAAGTCATAAACCAAGCACACACCAAACACAGTGACTCCAGTTTCTTTCACCAGCATTGCACACGTCCCAAGGAATAAACTAAGCAGCAAAAAGAATGGGGAGGCAGTGGGAGGGAAATGTTCCCCAACATAAAGCTGATCCACACTCCTGAAAAACAGAATTGACATGAAATATCTTAACTTCTCTGCTATTTTCATGTTTCCTAGTCACACAAATACTGAGACACTTTTCCTTAATGCTTTAAGATGGCTGACACAAACATGTCAAGACATGAACAATCTAAAATGAGAAAAGGCTTAGCCACAGGACAGGAAGGGAAGATGAAAATATGGGGAGCTGCTGCAATTTTTGGTGCACAAGAGGTGAAACAAAGACAAGCAGAAAAATAAAGTAGACTTGAAACAGTCAGGGGAAGGCAAAGTACAGGGAAGGCAGGAAAACACCTGCTTTCTGTCATGTGGAACACACATGCTTAATTCTCCTTCTGGGACAAAAAGCACTAGGCAAGCAAAAATTCCTCCATCCCACCCACAGTCCCCTGAGTCAGAGGTGTGTCCTAATCACTAACAGACTGGGCAGCAAGCCCCTGTCACATGGGAGAAGGTAGGAAAGAGCTGAAATCAAACAGACAGATTCCTGTGGGGTCACTGTGCTTCACACCTTCTGAAAAAAACAGCACCGTGGGTTTGCAGCAGACAGCCCCACAGGGATATCAGCAGTTTCTCCCTGTAGCTGTGATGACATGGTGCTATTTCTGAATGCAAACAATGTTATTTCAAACTGCAAATAATGCAAAAGGTGCAGAAACCCCATCCAAGGCAGCTATTTCTGTATCTACCCTTGTTCAGTTCCAACTTTAGAACACAGAGCAGCAAGCAGTGCCAAGTTTTCACCTGAAAAGGATGACTAATGGTCTAGACACACTCTTAACTCTCTCAGACCAGGTGCTCCAGAGTCCCACAGTCACAGCACACATTTGAAAGGCAGGCATGTGTCTGCCTGCTATTCACTCTACACACAGACAATTTGCCTTCCATTGAAAATATTTCTTTACCATTTTTACAAGCCCTCCTCTGCTGTATGGTCATCAGTGAAGAGGGACTGTCAATGTTGACTCCTGGCTCAGTGGTTTTTTGTTCTCATAAGCATCACCATGGCTGCAAGCAGGGGCCAGGACACTTCCATACAGCAGAGCTGTGGGAAGCACCTCTGCCAACAGCCATGAAACACTGACACTGCCTCTGGTCCCCTCCTCAGAATAAAGAATCTCATGATGTTACCACATACCTATTATAGGAGAGAAAAGCCAACAGAAAGAGTAGACAGGCCAGGACGTCTGCTCTGCCTACTATACCTGTTACCTGAAAGGAAAGGAGACACACAGGTGTAAAAACACATCTAAAAAAGTAAAACACTCACTGACGGCCTCAATAATCCATGCTCAAAGCTACTATTTTTTGATCTTTCAGTGTTATCCTCCCTCAGCATACCAAAATGTTATTTGGACAGTGTAGTGGCACAGATACATTTTATGAAAAATCCTTTCCTTAGGATTTTTTCTCCTGAGAAGCTGAGAAGCCTCAGGAACAAAATGTAACCAATGATTATCTGCTGCTGTGGAATGCAACAGGTGCATCTGTGATTGGTCTCATTGAGTTGTTTCTAATTAATGGCCAATCACAGTCCAGCTGTCTTGGACTCTCTGTCAGTCACAAGATCTTATTATAATCCCTTTTCTATTCCTTGCTAGCCTTCTGATGAAATCCTTCCTTCTATTGTTTTAGTATAGTTTTAATATAATATATATATCATAAAATAATAAATCAGCCTTCTGAAAACATGGAGTCAGATCCTTGTCTCTTCCCTCTTCCTGGAATCCCTGTGAACACCACCACAGTGTAGGGTATGCTCAGTTTTGTCTGCTGCATTTCTAGCTTGGCAAAACAAATGAGTAAGCCAACAGTAAACTCATTCCTTACTTAATAAAATATTAATTAAGGTATATAGAAAATGCCAATTTTAAGGATTTGTTTTAATTTTGTATAATAGGCTTAGATGAGAAATGCATCCAACTCCCAGTACTGAAATTTGTTAAAGAAAATTACTTACTATGTAAGTAACATTGAGATGAACTCTTATCACCAAAAAGGGATAGGATAGAATTTATAGAATTTATTCCTCCTGAGCAATCTGAGTTTGCAAGAGTTTCTTCCTACAGATTAATGAACAAAATCTTTTTATAAAAAGGGAATACTGAAGAAGAATAGATAAACACTCTTTTTTACAGTTATTTCAATATTCTCCTTCATAAGGATCTAAAAATCACCATATAGCAAATAAAAGGCCCTTTGAAATCTCGCCCCTTTTGAGATTACATAATTAAGTTATATTCAGAGCTCTGGCATTTATTTTAACCTTTTAAATTTCTGACCCAGACAAAAATAAATTCCAAGAGGGCCTCATCTAAAACCTCCCTTAAAATATAAAGCTGTATTATCAAAAGGAGCCTAGCTGATTAGTTCACACAACACAGCACAGGGAGTAACTCCAAAGCTTGTGGCTTTTTGTTATTAAGGTAATCTCTCCTCAAAAGTTCTCAGCCACAGGAGCTGTTTCCCTCCCCCATTTACAAAGGCTTGCAATGAGAGCAGTGATGTCAGTGGTGTCTCAGCTAATGAGAGCATTTCTTTTTTGCAGTGTGGAGAGCTGGACATCACCTTTCTTTCTCCAAGACAGCAAGACTCCTTTTAGCTATACAAGTGTCTCCTAGTGCTAACAGACTGCAGTTTTGGAATGATTACATCTTTAAATGTTTTCTTATAACAAACAGAAAAATTTCCAATATGAGCTGCTGTTCTGTATACTTATGCTGGTGTTTGTGAACAACTCTTTTTCTGAAAAGGATTCTCCTAGTTTTTCATTGAAATAAATATTAATTGATCCATGGGTCACACCACCTCTGTCAGAGAGAGCTCCTCCAGAATACACAGTAATGCTGCCTTCACTTTTCCTCCCTAAAACTGATGGCTACAGGAGATGACTGAAGGCATGCAACAATATCCCAGCAGGAGAGCACAGCCTCACTGAGCTCTTTGGTTTCAGAAAACTCCTGACTGTCCATTTATTCCCAGCAGGGCTGATTAGGACCACCATTTAGAATTCAGTTCCAGAGCACAAAGACTGCAAGTATGAATGTGCTTTTTTCCTTAATGACTCCTACAAATTATTTTAAATAGAGCACATTCCCACCTTTGCTCCCCCACAGCAAAAAAATCACAAGTACAATATTCTGTATGACTTAGAGATTTCCTTAAAAAAAAAAAATCAGAATTCTGAAGAATTCATTTATTTTTGGGTTTGGTGGCACATACTTACAGCCTCGGTGTGAATGGGGTGCACAGCGAAGAAGAGCGCCGTGACAAAGGCAAGGCGACAGTCCTTGAACACAGCTTTGTCACACGTGTACATCAGCACAAGAGTCACCAGGCAGTGTAAAATTACATTCACTGCGTGGAAATACAAGGGGTTCATGCCAGCCAGCAGTATGTTTAACCTGTAAGGAAACAAAACAAAGCCATTGCGAGATTTGGGAGATCTTCTAATACCGTTCAAACACTCTAAATTATGCCTTTTGCCCCATTTGCAGCCATCTAATGTTAGTGCTACTAAACTAATTACAGCAAATCACACTAAACTTTGGTTTATTTGATTAAAGAATCCATTTCCCCCGTTTTTCTATTATGTGGTTGTGTTTGGCAGCCTTTTTGACAGAGGTGGGGAGTGCTGTGCCCTCCCAGCAGAGAGACCACGCCTGTGCTGCCCTAGCAGCAAATCACCCTGGCCAGCACCGTGGCACTTGTCCCATTTCCCTGCTGGCACCTCTGTGGTTCTGCTGGCCACGTGGCAGCTGTACAACATGGCTAGTTATTTTCTGCTCTAGAAGAGATTCTTCTGCCCAGGAGCAGCCAAGACAAGGACTTGGTAAGGTGCTGGAGCATCTGCTTAGCATAACAGGGGCATTTACTCCCATTTAACTTTCAAAACAGTGTCACACACTGAAGGTTAAGCCTGTATTTAAGCGCTTTACTGGCATAAAGAAGCTTGTTTAATAGTTCACATCATTTCTATAAGGACATTGATGGCAAAGGTAAGTAAGCTAACATCACCCTAGACTCAGCGAGACAATTAGGGTTCATTATTTGTGCCCATCATAAAAAAAAATAAAATGTAACAAGCTGTTATGACATTTGTTTGATAGCATGTATTAATACATTCTTCTAGTTACTGTTTTTTACAGCCAGCTTGCTTAACAGCTGCTGACAAGCCTTGCCTTACACACAGTTGAAGATAATTCTCCTAAATATTAACAACATCTGTACATTTGGACAAATATATATACATCTATATGTATATATGTATCTACACAAATATACACACATACACATGGTGCCTATCCAGGGAAGACTCCATACATGAACAAGGAATCTGGAAAAATGTCTAACTAATGTTGAAGGACTTTTTTTTCTAAACAAAAAAGATAACCAGTGAAAAGAAGACTCAAACTAAATATTTTACATGCAGTTGTAAATATGCTATAGGGTCAATAATCCTGCCTGCTGTTACTAAAAGACTCCAGGTCTCCCATGACAAACATGATGTGACAGTAAGGCCACTGAGCTGTTGCTACTATAAAAAAACACCTTGGGTGTTTTTGTGAGACAGAGGAGGTGTGAAGAGGTCTGTGAGAGCCAGACAACCTTTTTTTTTATATATATAAATAACTCTCTACATTTCTTATTCATAAGCAAGGAAGTGCTAGCTGTCCTGGGTTCAATTTTCCAGGCCAATCCACTTTTGCCAGACTAAGAGTCTTACTTGTGCATTCCTGCTGTGCTCCTACTGGAGTGCTTGAGGAGGCAACAGATGAAACCCAGAGAGTTTGTGAAAAAGTGAGATTTTGGCATGACTTGACCTTTCCCTTTGAAGTATGGGTTGATGTAGTTACATTCTGACAAGACATCAGTCTGTGTGATTCAAGAATACACAAAGAGTTGGGAGGTTTTTCTTTTTTTATCCCATTTCTCCTGCAAGCCACTTCAGGGCAGCAACATCCATCACTTTCCCTTATTTCTACCAGCCCTGAATGACAAACCACAACAAATGGCAGTAACACACACCCAGCCAGAGCTTCAGCTGCAAATACACTGCAGCAGCAGCAGGAACCCCCCCAGGACAGAATCTTGTTTCCAGCACAGGGCTGAGGGGAACAAGGGGCAGAACGGAGCCCCTAAAGGAGCCACAGTTCACTCAGAGACAACTGCAGATGTGCACAAGGACAGGGACCCTCTGCAGGAGACATTCTTTACTCAAATCAATCATTTCTGGCTGTACATCAGCTGAAGCAGAGTCCACTGGTCCCTCTCAAATGCCAAAGTGTGATCTGGGACTCTGATTTCTGGAGAAAGCAGATGCAGGCACGTGAGGACAAGTGCTCAGGATATCAGGTGATATGAACTCGTGCACCAAAAGGGGAGAAATTCTCACTTAGTTGGCCAAGTTGTGAGAACCAATCACTAAACTCATGACATCTGGCAATACTCTTGAAAATTCTATCATCATTCTCCATGGATCATATCTGATCACTTCCCATCCTGCCAAACAGGCCTGCTGGCAGGAGAGGCAGAACTTTACAGGTAAGGGATCTTCCATCCCCATCAGGTCCCCTATCCCAAAGGTGGGGTGAGTCCTTCACACCCCTTCTCAGGGTGAACACCAAGTCAATGAGGCTTGTAAGCTGAGTTACCTGATGTAAATTATTGACAACAGCTCTGTAAAAGCATCAGCCTCACAGCCTGGCTGCTCCCCCACGTGTTCTTTAAATAAATAAAAAACAACAGAACAAAATACAAACATAATACCATGCTGTTCAGGTAACTCCTTCACTAAACAGCAAAATCAGCCTGCAAGTGTGTTTTAAATACCATCTTTGGTGGTCCATGAACACTAAACATGAGTGTGTGCAGGTGCTATATTCACACCAGCGCTTTTTGCTGCTAAAGCTCTTTGTCATAAGGAATTAGGCCACATGGCAATGAAGGAAACATTCTTCAGTCCTGAAACAATCCCAGCAGAACGATGTTGAAATGTTAGCAGTGGTTAAATTTATTGTATGTCAAAAATCTGGGTCTTCAAACAGCTCTAATCCAAGTCACAAGAACTCTGCAGAGCTGCCCAGCTCACACAGCCATGGGGGAAAAAGGCAGCCTGCTATGGAATGCCAAATTTGCTCCACTGCAGGGGAACTGGGGAGCAACTTCTGGGCAAGGGAGCCAAGAAGGGGATGGGTAAATAAAAAATTACTTCTCTCCTCCTAATCTTTAATGCCCTAACAGAGAGAGCCAGTCTTGTTTACTGGCAGCAGCATGCAGCAATAATACGCAGCAGACTGTTCAGCAAACAAAGGAAGTAAAACAGAGATATGAATCTCAAAATTAAGGAAGAAGTGGTCTTTCTCCAACAATGTTCATAAACAGAAGTTCAAGCAAGCAAAAACTGTACTACACTGGAGGAAGGTGGTGCTGTCCATGTATTTCCATACTTATACTGCCCCAAAAATGGGGAAAATCATATCATGCAGCCATTTCTGTATGAAGATCATAACCTCTGCCTGAGATACAGCACAACTTGTAAGACACATCTTCTAAAGAGATTCCACCATGCACTGAAAGTGGGTATTGCTTTGCATAAACTTTGCCATATTTAACACACAATTTGAACAGGAAAAGATCACCACAGGAAACTTAATCCATCCTTATGTATGGAATTAATTGATATAAATCTCCATGTGAGCCTTCCTTATAAAAATTGTGTGGGTTTTATGAGGTATGGGATGCTGTGAAACTTTCCATTAAGTGTTGCTTCCACATCTTGTGGGCTTGGTAGAGCACACAGTGAGGAGAGGAGGTGCTCTGGGCTGTATGAACAGGAGCACCTCAAAACAGAGACGTGTTTGCAAACAGCATCCTCAAGATCTGGGGCTGAACACAGCAAGTGGTAACACTGCTAGGAACAGAGACCCCAAAAGAGGAGATCCAACCATCTCAGACATGGAGGTCGTTCCTCAGAGGAGCCACCCACCAAACACTTGGAGGACAGTTTTTACTGCTTTAGCATCTCTGCTGGAAGAGTCCCTGGAAGCAAAGGTTCTGCCAAACCTCCTGCAAAATGGCAAAGGGCAGTTCAAATGCAAAGGCCCTCAGAAGACCCAGGGAAAGGAGGAGAAGAGCACTGAAGATACACCATTGTGAGGTCTCTCAGTACTAGGTGACACTGACAGCTATCTTCTAATAGAGCTGACCAGCACCATCCCTGCCACCACCAAAACAAAAATCTGAGTACAGAAATCTCAGCATTGGTCACATGTCCCAGCAGGGCAGACAGGCTGCACTGAAACACTTATTCAAGCCAAGACTCAGCACTGTTTTTGTGGTTTTTGTGCCCAAGTGTTGCAACAAGTGTGGCTCAGCATGTCACACCCAGGGCAGAGCACTGCCCAAAATACACACCCATGCAGGAGGCACACCAAAATAAGAAATCCCTTGATTTTTTAAGGCTGATGGATGTTTTCCAGGAACAGTGGAATAGCATCGTTTGCTTTGCCACGTGCAGCAGTTTTTCTACCATTCCTCCACCATCCACTCTCAGAAAAGGAATTGCACAGCTCCACTCTCAGAAAGAGAGACCTCCACAGGCAGCAGCCTTATCTCGAAGGTTCACTGAATAGAGACTCTACAACAGCTCTCCAGAAGAAAGCAGATCACTCTTGTAACCTCCATCAGTACCATCAGATGTCCTGCAGAGAAGCTGTCAGGGACACATCAATTCTGGGTAAGCAATTCCCCACAGAGGGGGCCTGGAAATGGAGTGGGATTCTGTGGCTTCATCCTCACAAACTCAGAGAGGTCTAGAGCAAGAGCACAGGCTCACAGACAATTCCATATATACAAAATTATGGTATGTAATCACCAGCACCCCCACCCCAGCTCTAATATAGTACTTTGCTTTTCATTCACTTGTACACATGAAGATTCATTCAGCCTTTTTTAAGGTCTCTTATGATTTAGTAATATTGTATACCATAATTGGAGAGTTTCTCTTTTTATAGACTTTGTTATTATCCCTGGGCAGCTCTTGTTTAGTTTAATCTGTTTTATTATTTTCAGAAGACTAACAATGAAACACAACATGTTATGAAACAGAAATGCACTGGATAATAATGGTAATTTGTTATAGCAAGTAACACTTAATGGAAAGTCTCACAGCATCCCATACCTCATAAAACCCCTCAGTTTTTATAAGGAAGGCTCACATGCAGATTTAAATCAATTAATTCCATACATAAGGATGGATTAAGTTTCCTGTGATGATCTTTTCCTGTTCAAATTGTGTGTTAAATATGGCAAAGTTTATGCAAAGCAATACCCACTTTCAGTGCATGGTGGAATCTCCTTATAAACTCCACAGATGCATGGACTTCGTGCCAGGAAAATGAGC